TAAAGGAATTTTCCAGCTAACAATCGACAAATATATTAGAAAACAATGTATAATAGTCAACAGCCTTTTTCAGATGAAAGAAAAACCCCACTTAATGTGTTTAGTGGAAAAAATAAATCTGAATATATCAATTCGTGCTCCAGAGGGATTTACTTTATGGTGAACAATAGAGTTGTAGGGCCTCAATCTTAAAGAACATTCCTCCTTTCATTCCATCACAATCTTATTCTTTTTCGTCCTCATTAACCCAATTTCACATCTTCATCTTGTACACAATAACTGTATTACAAAACACCAGAGATGATCCTGTTGTTTTCAGTCATTTTATTGGTCACTTGAGTCACTCTATTGATACTGGTTTCTATCATTCCAAAGAAGTACAATAAATTTCTAACCCGGAAGAAAAATTAAATTTGTAGCATCTGGCGAGACGCAGATCAGTGGCGGTTCCAAACTCTTAAGATTCGGGTTACGGACTGACTAATGGGGAGACTGTCAAGGTTGTGGTTCAAATTCGGCAGTTCTGAGATGGTTCCTCAAGAAAACATGTGGGAAATGAAGTAGATTTTGTATCAGACATTTTAAGCCTCGGTCCCACTGGGAATTTGGAAATGGGAGATAGTAGGCGGTGGAGAAATGTGGAAATGTTTTGGGATGCTTGGTGATGGATAGCGACAACATTTTAGAAAAAAATGGAGCAGTACTATCAAATTTCGCAACGGAAATGATTCTGCAAAGGTCTGCTAAACATTAAGCGACAGTTCTGCGATGTTGGACGATAATCTGCAACGGATCTGCTGACCATGACCAAGTTCGTCCGGTGACTGTTGCCGATGTATCGGAGTTATATTGAAGATGTTAGACGTTTCGAAAACGTTTTGAATTTACTGAATTCTAAAACTGATAGCAAATGCAAACTATAAATAATTGTGGCTAACCACACAACGTTTCTCAATGCAAAATCAACGACGGCGCAGATAAAAAAAAATTTGGCCGAGGTTCAGACGTGTAACAGAACAAAAAACTATAAAAATTGATATTAAATTTGTTAGAAATGAAGTAGAGTACAATTTTGGATACAAATCAATTTTCTAAGCGGCAAATGCATCTGAAAGTACCAATATACATTTCTAACAATTTTACTTGGATCCTAGTAGCGCTAAAATGATAATTCTTGAGCTTTTCTGGCCATCTTAAGTTGTTCATCAACAAACCTCAGCGACTGTGTCCACGTCAAGCTGGTCAAGAGCGACCAGAAGTAAGATCCTTTGATGTATCGAGCAACATGTCGATAATGCTATCAGAACAAATTAGCCACAAGTCAAAGTAGTAATTAGGTTAATATCATGATAATTAAAACAAGAAACTAAAGTCAATCATCAAAATGTATTAAATATAATAAATGTTGACAGAAACTCCTACAGTTTTATTGTTTCTGATCTACATAATCATTGTATACAGTAAAATTCTATCTGTAGGCTACTAATGTATGGCATTTATAGATCAAATATCAAATGAATAGAGGTATAACTTTTGAGATTATCATAGAGCTATTTATCTACCCAACATATTATCCTTATTGCTTCCTTATTTTTATCAAACCAATTCGAATTAAAAATCAACGGTTTGAACCGGAACAACATATAAATCTATATAAATTAAAAAAGGCGTTACTGTACAGCAATTCCTATCTTAGCCATCATTTGAAATGGAACCACCTAAAACAAATCTAATGCATGATAAATTCCTATATAGCGGGTTCTACTTCGAGACGATATATTCACTTGCGTGCCAGACGACATTAACAAGACCTTACCTATTCCGTTACATTCAGTAATCCTGTATATATTTTTTACTTTCTTCTGCATGATCTAGCCGGTTATTATTTTGATGGATTTTCTTAGAGGATGTCAGATAAACACTGAGTTTTTGACATACGATAGCCTTTTAGGCCAATAGGGATGGGAAATGCCTTCGTTCAAGTTGTAAAATAATGACTTACTAAACCATGGTGGATTATATATACAATCTCTTTTCTTTAAATAAACCACGGAGAGAACTATGGAAGACAAGAAATTGTTTCAACAGATTGAAAAACTTGAGATTGTACCAATACAGTATAATTTTACTAAATATTGGATTTATCGTTAGATATTATTCACTGTTGCTTTCGTTTCAGAATCATGGTTGCCATTCACCACTAGGATTATCAACTCAAGTTCCACCCGTTATTGATATAGAACTATCAGCATCAGATGGAAATGCTGACGATGCTCGTCTTCATGGTTCCACTTCGTGGAGAGTTGAAAATGTAACAGATGATACATATCTTCAGGTACTAAAACTAACAATGTATTTGACTTGTTGGATGTTTATTTATTTTGTACCTCACCACTTTGAAATCGAAAGCTACTTTCTAGCTTCACCTATTAATACAGTATTCTTATAAGCTGTAAATCATTACTATTAAATGTTTCTTGTTAAATGATTTCGGACATGTTTGAACATTTGAGGCACGTGGCTAAATCCATGAAGAAAACAACTTCGTGCTTGTGATAGATTTAAATTATTTTCCAGGTTTATATTTTTTAATGAATGACATATTCTAAAACCCTATCTTATTATATAATATATTTATATGGTAGGTATCTCTGGCGAAACCGATGTTAATATCAGGTATTCAGTCACAAGGTGATCCTAACCACGAAGATTGGATTCTATCATTTAAATTCCAGTTCAGTTTCGACTGTCAACATTTCTATGAAGATGATCGAGTAAGTTGATGATATTGAAAACGGGGTTGTATATGCAAAAAATAGAATACATGTTATTGCAATCTGAAAGCATAACGGTGACAGAACGTGGACTATGTATATTTCTGTTCTGTTTACTTGAAAGTACATAGTACGGGAGGTGCGACTGGTTAGAAAAAAAGCATTAATTGCCCCATAGTAATAACTTTTATTATTTCAGACATACTGGGGTAATCTAGATCATGACACCATTCTGACACATTTCTTTCATAATCTGACAGTAGCTAAATGTCTACGTATTATACCAGTTGACTACAGTGGTGAAGCTGCTGCTCTTAGACTAGAAATACTTGGGTGCGGTAAGTTTTAGCACTAATTTCCTTTCATTTATGCTTTTCAACCTGGCATCTTTTTCTATAATTTGTGTGCTTCCTGCCACGATAAGTAATTAAGGAATACGTGCATCATGAGCAATACAACAGTTGATAATTACAGTGTAAAAGGATGTTTATCACTCTGTTAAGAGGACAATGGCACTGTTGCTTTTTTGATCGTTTTGTATTTATCCATTAAGATATTAAACCTGCTAATAAGTTGAATGCAACGACAGTGAACACACAAAAACTGATATTATTGAGAACCTTAAGATCATTTTGTTAAATTTCTGCTTCCTAGAAGCATTTTTTGTATTACATCTTTAAACAATACAGTAAAGCAATAATAAAAAATTTTCGCCGTTAAATTCGTGCTCAATACAAGTTTAGAGCGATATAGACAACTACTGAACGCATAGCGTGAAACTCCTGAGTACCAATATTTTTTATTTATCTTTTAACAACGTCCATTTGATAACAAGGGTTTTTTTTTTATTTCATCCTGGAAAAAAAACATCACTTTATGCATTATATTATGTAAATATTTCCATATGTAGGACATCGAAAAGAGTAAAGAATTGACTTGTCTGACAAAAATTCCATACAAGGTGGAGTGTAGGTATAGAAATATAACGTCAAATTTCATTATGTAGATCTGGATGTATGCCAACATGAATTAAGTATCTATGAGAAGGACACCCTAGCCGATGGTGACCAGATTCTCAAGTTTTACTCTGAGAAAATTGTTACTGCTATAGAGATCTCATACCTTGGTAATTCTTCCAATATCGGTAATAAGTTATTGGTATTCTACAGCAGATCTTGTTCAAAGTTTGAAAACTTGACTGGTCATTATGTCAATATGGTGGTAAGTCAGATTTCATAAAACCTTAAATTTCAAAGCATTTTCACCTAAGATTTGTAATTTAAAAGCAAACATTTTACACAGCATGTCATTCTTACTTATATGATGTAATTATCGAAGAATTACCGCGTAAGCATTAAAATTCTGTAAGCGTGAACTAATTCACTAGCGCTTCATTATCCAATGTTAAGTCGACCTATTGTAATTAGATTTTTAAATTACACGACGAATTCACAATTAAAATATAGCTATAGAGTCAACTTAAAGGTTGAAATTTCAGATGAAAGAGCCTGGAGACACAAGTAGAAACCAGAAAATTGAGATAGATTTCCCTGATCCAGTTCGTGCTCAATGTATACAGATACTACCAGAAGGAGAATTATTTCCTACCAATGTGAAGGCTTTTGGATGCAGTAAGTCTACACTATCTTTAGGTTATAGTAACATTAACGGTGACTCAGATAACCTAGAGTAAAGGGAGCAAAATAAACATTCAGTCAGACATACGGTGGTTTACAGATTGACCAGATTTATATTTATAGATGGAATGTTGTTCTCTTGAAAGCCTCCGACTTAGGATCCAGTTAGTCGGTAAACATGTCTTCGAATATATTTTAAATTTAAACGAATTATATTGTTCTGCTTTATTACCCATTTCTCGCAATGCACAATGGATATAGGATAATAAACAATCAATTGTAATGCCATGTATTGTATCTTTCTCTTTCAGATACTGGCACTCCAGAGGGTACGTTCATTTCTATACAATAAAGATAAGTCACCAATACTACATAACTAGATACAAATATATAAATAAATATATGAATAACTTCCGATGTTTTAAAAAAATTGTTTTCAATTATGTCAAAAGAAATCAGATCATGGTTGTTTGTAGTATACCGCTTTTAATATCAATATTTCAATTCCTTTGTACATTTTGATTTTTCAGTTGACAATGGTCAAGCTAACACTTGCGGTAAAACCAGAAAGACAGCAGGTCTGAGACGAAAGAGGGTTGTGGGTGGACACCCAGTAATTCCGGGGGATTGGCCCTGGGTGGCCTCTCTACATTTCATACCCTGGCATAACTTCACTGGTCGATCTGGTCTGAGACATCTTTGTGGGGGTAGTTTGATTCATCCCCAATGGGTTATAACAGCTTCTCATTGTTTGAGGTATGTGTAATATATGTAGATAATTCTAATTGTATTAATTAGAGATGTAAAAACAACTTGCACAGTAGTAATTAACAATAACAACTATATACCAATTAGCAATATTACCTTTTGGCGATAGTGAGTTGACAAATCCAATAGTGTGATACCAGGTGTCCTGGACAGTTGAGTATGCCCTGTCGCGCTAACGACACACGACATAATAGATGTATTTAAGAAGAACTCAGATATTTCTTCAAATATAATGCTATATCAGAGATTGTGCCAGAGTTAAAAATATGCCAGCCCGACCTTCAATGCGTTTCTTGCTTGGACAAAAATAAGTTCAAGACTAGTGCAGTTAGAACCCAATTGTTATGCTCTATATGAGAAATTTGGAAACCATGAATGCCATTAAATAACATGTTGTCTCTGCTTACAGTTCTGATGTATTTCCTGGTCTCAACAACCCGGACAATTGGATTGTAGCTCTGGGTGAAAATGATCAGACGACTGACGATGGAACTGAACAGTTCCTGGAAATCGAGAAGATTATAAGACACCCACTAGCCCAGTGTAAGTAAATTTATATTCCCCAAGCCAACAAACATTGCAGCACTGGACTATAGAATAGCAAGAGAAAAACATTCTAATCTGAATACAAATATAGTAACATCGAGTATTGCAAAGCAAAAAGTAGAATTTTTTCTATATTTTAAGAGAATTGGAATATCAACCTCAAAATAGTACTGTTAGATATTTTAACTCATAGTTAGATATAATATATATTCCAAACTTAGTTTGAAAAATATTTTATATCAATAATATACGACCGATATTTTGTCCCAATGGTTTGATTCATTTGATGTGGATTTATGTGTACGATATTATCAAATCTTTTCCAATTTTCAGTCAAAAGAGGACCATTCCTGTATGACATAGCTCTAGTAAAGTTAAAACAACCCGCAGCTCTGTCAGACTATGTTAATGTGGTTTGTTTGGATACAATGGGTGATTTCCCTGCAGGATCACATTGTACAGTAGCTGGTTGGGGACAAGACACGATGGGTAAGATGCAAATTTTGAAAAAGGAATTAAATGCCTAACATCTCCCGCGTTTGGATTTTCTAGGTACCTGACGATACATCATGAAAAAGTTTTAACACCAATTGACATAAGTTAGTTTTACCAACATAACATTGGAACTATTTTATTGTTTTAGAGACGCCTGGCACCAAGATACCATTCAAGGCCATTCTACCCATAGTGAATTCAACAGATTGCCGTAATAAATATTATTCCCTTCCTGATTATGATGAAGCAACATCATTGGTTAAAATCGACAACTCTGTTCTATGTGCTTCGTCTGAAAACGGTGGAAAGGATGCATGCTGGGTAAGTTACTTTTCGAAAATCCTTTTGACTGCAAACACTATCAAGTATGTTCACATGACACATATGACAGGCGTGCGAAGCCTTCATTTGGAAATAAAACAATGCACGTTACAAAATCAGATCGGTTATCTAATTTGCCTATGGAAACACCTCCATATTTAGTTCGCTTTAGCTTTGATTGTTATTCTATTCGATGAAAAGCCCTCGATTACAATATTTAGTCATAGATTGAAGCAGTTAAAATGGAATGGATACATGAATATATTTTATTTTGATCTGGTAGAAACCTAAGGGTTCCCTGGTGATTGATTCTCTAATTTGATAAACTAATTATATATATTGCCTACAGTTATCTCAGTATATATAGAATTAGTTTATGTATTTTATTGAGAGGAGACAATACTATGGGGTATGATAAAATAACAAATATTATCCTAATTAAGCCTAAAGTTTGGTTAGAATGACGCACGTGGAACTTGGTGTTATTGATATAAGATTTATATTCCATACACAATGATATTTTTGTCGTAATTATTCCATATTCCATTTATCAAACTTTTATGTGTGTTTTGAAAAGAACGTGAGGATTAATTTAAAACTGTCCTTGTCTCAGGCACAGCTATAATATGAACATCTATGTTAGGTTTTTTGGGGGGGGGGGGGGGCTGCCGATGATCTGTAGCTTTTGACTTCTTTTTTTAAATTGAAACATATTCAAGCAATATCGGCACTGAATTATTGTCCCATTAATATTGTCTGTGGAATTGAATTCATTTGGTGTTGCCCTCTGCTGTCTTTGGAAATCAATTGATGTACCCGTATAACTTAATTCATTCGATTGTAAATGAACTATTTTCAACCAAATGACAAAACGTTGTTACTATTATAAGTGATTCAATGTTTATTTTCTAATCAAAATAAGATCATTAGAATTGGGCGGGCCATTATATATGAATTAACCTTGTTCTTCCAGGGAGATTCTGGTGGTCCATTTTTCTGTGAGAAAGATGATAAATGGTACCAAGTTGGTATTGTATCTATTGGTTATGAATGTGGAAATGTCGAGTTTCCAGGCATCTATACCAGAGTATCTCATTACAAGGACTGGATAGCCCAGACACTGGCAAATAATTAAATACATTGGTTCTTTCTGAATACCAGCACATCATACCTGTATACATTAATATATCATCACCTCAAGATCAAGATTCATATCATTTTAACGAGACCAGTTGTTATTTTGATTAATATTATAGGTCGAATGGTGGCCTGGATTCCCGGTGTTTTTTATGGTATTGACCAGTCCACTGCCGTTAAATACACGCCAGAAGTAAGGAAATAGTGCCGACATTATTAGGTTAGACCTGCTCTTTATGGTCAGTGACAATGCTCCTCATTTATTAAATCAAATATGAAAACTTGATGTTGAAAAATATTAAGGTGAACCCCGTATCCGATCAAATCAGATATATTCCATCGATATATGCAGTAGCAGAAGCAAATTTTGATTAGATTCGATGGAATAGAAACAGTAACAAAATAACAAGGGCAAATCATATCGTCTTCAATCTCATGTATTTAATATTATAATCGAATGTATTATTATTGTTTCGTATTGTGACGAATGGTTCAGGATTAAACATTGAAAGAAATGCCATGTTCTTTGTTTATTATTACTATCAGATTATTCTGATGCGCAATATACATGTAGTTGTAAAATGAGTTTTATTAATAACTGTATTAAAAGAGTCCGGTTTGTTAAAGAAAGGTAACTACAAACTACACCATGTCGAGTGCATTACACATTATTAGATAATCATCTAGTAGGTATACAATTCGGTTAAAACGGTAGGACTGAAATACAATTTCATTCCTTTTTACAACCAGTACCTGCATTTTTTGTGGAATCAAACAAGGCGATATCAAAACATTTTGCATGTGTTTTAGTAAAGGTTTCTTGTCAAATCGCGAAAGATTAAACATCACATGCAACTTTATAATGTTCTACATGACACGCTTTGTTTGATTGGTTGCATATACTACCTTTGGGACAAACCTTTAATAGAAATCTATTTAGATTACAATGTTGACTAAAAATATCAGAAAACAAAAAAGATAAGAAATTGTGAGTGAGTGAGTGAGCACGAGATGGTACCGGTCCAATACGACATTTTAGCACCAGTCCGACGCTGCAAATTGTCCGATCATCGCGAAAATCGATAAACATAATCTACGAGATACATTGGAAAGAATGAAAAGATTCATTTAAAAATTGCAGCCTGTTAAGTTAGGACGAGTTAACAGACAGTCAGTGTGACGACAATGTACGACTAAACTTCGCGATGTCGTTTAAAAATTTCGTTTCTCACCGCCAGAAAACACTTATAATAAAATTTATTAACTTATCTACATTTGACAGATTCCGAGTTTCTGGACATTGGATAAAAAAATGTAGATTCCAAAGCCTCAATTTTCTGGCCCAATAGTGCGTTTGTGTAGGATCATAAAAATCAACCCAATCAAGACTGTCATTATTACTCTATATTGCTGATATCATTTGCAAAACAATTTAAATGATTTATTAAACAGATTTTATTATATCAAAAATAACATTATTAATTTATACCTCTATAACAATACAGTTAAATTGATAAAATTTACTTTCTCAAATCTTCATAAATTATCACTCGCATACTACCAAGCAAACAAACAAAGATATCTATTCACATCATGGAACATTTCTAAACAACGACAACCTATTAGTTTTTAGGTGGAGCATGGTAGTTGAAATTACTATGATGATATTAACAATTTATTCAGCTACTTAACATAAAAAAACTCTTTATTTTTATATTTCAAATAGTTCCGGGATATGTACAGATATCTTTGCATGCCAATAAAATAGTATAAATGTTTAAAAATCGACTTTTGCAAAAAAACATCGCGGCTTACATACAATCATAGGGTAGAAAATGTTCACTTATTTTGGCATTTACTTTTAAAAAGAGTAAGTAAGGTGTGGTAAAACTACAACAGTGTTGTAAGGATGATAATAATTATTATTATTATAATATCTTAACACTGATTAGCTTTGAGCCTTTCTAAAAATATTTTACATTATAGGAAAGTTAAAAAAAAGTGCAAGAACCAGACACAAAAATTCTTGAAAGTGTCAATAATTTGGTATCAGAGAATACAATGTTCAGTTAAAAAGAGTACAGCATTAATAAAGAGAGAGAGAGATAACAATAATCAGTTGTAAGAATAAAAACTACCAGGCTAAAATTTAAGTAGTAAAAAATAATTTTTGAGCAATAGGAAAAATTGACAAACTTGGAGTAGAAAAAGACTTGACATTTGGTGTTCATTTGGAATCTGTGCAACTGTCTATAATTTTGGCCAGCGAGGTTGTGCCATTATAAATGGAAAGTTGTATACATTGGGTAACCCTACATGTGAACCATTGAATGGTGGTACCCATTTAAAAGGAGGTAAATTATCACCCAATGTTGGTCCATTTACTATTTCAGCCTGCAGGTTCAGAGCCATGTTATAATCTGTTACCTGCAAGTTAATAAAAGAAAATCCTCATCATCTTAAAGTAGTTAGTGTTCTGGAAATTAAATTTCCTTTGCATAAACTTTGATAACAGGGACATGTTCCATTAAAATACTGTAATAAATATTGGTGACAGTATGTTATTTTACAGGAGAAAACTTAACTGACAACAAAATTTGATTAGAACTATGTTGATAATTTCCAGATTTAATCAAAAGCTCCATCAAACTCAAATTAAATTCCCAGTTTTCTTTACAATATAGCTTTGGGTTTCGGGATTCAGAAATGACAATGATTTTGGAAATTGAAAAAAAATATATTCCACATAATTCACATGCAATAATCCTATGATCATTCCTGAAATGGCTTACAGCACAAGGTTATATGATACATTATTTAAAATATAGAATTAATCATACCTTGGTATCATAACAACCATCAGCTCTAGGTGACTTGGTATCTAAATCACCACGACAACAGATAGTATTACATGGATTATCTTCACTATAGTTATCTTTTTTATAATCTATAAACAGAACATTTACCATCTAGATATAATCTTACTGAAATTATCCATCTATACAATCTCATTTATCTTTTTAAATAGAAGGTGGACACTTTCTATCTCTGCTACTTTATTGTTTAACACAGTAGTTCATATGAAAATACAAAATTCTAAAAAGATTTATGTATGAATTCAGCTTTATTCAACAATTTAATTTTCATTTGACAACTTACTAAGTAGTTGACATTCAATGAAAAACAGAAATATCAATGTTAATATACATAGAAATATCACTATGTATTGGTAATACTAAGGACTGGGAATAACTAAATATAGTAAATTAACTAAATAAATAATAGCATACCATTATATCTCATAATATTTTTAAATGATTCTATATCTACAACTTTTCCCTCGTCTCTTCGGAATATTTTAGCTCTTGGAGCTAACTGATATGTTGAATCTAAACCATGTTTTGCGGCAAATTCTGGATAGCCACTCTTTTGATAGACTTCTTCAAAAAATGGTACATTATAGGATGGCCAATAACCTGGAGACAGAAAATAATAAATAATTTATATTTCTTTTTCATATAAGTAAATTTAAAGAAAGCAGTCTAATCTTCTTTCCATTATTATTATTAAGACATCATTTCAGAGAGTCCACTTATAATTTTTTTTTACAGAGCTTAGGACCACAAATATTATTCATTTTGAGCTCTAATATAATAATTTGAGTTTGGGCTCAAATATAACAGTTACTGATGCCAATGCCACTAGTAATACTATACTCACTCTTCAAATACACATCTGACACCCTGCAAATGGAGCAGAATGATATTTATGTGATATTTTTCTTGATTCATATCTATGATATACTGTCACTATGTTCGGTGATTATAAACAACCTACCAGTTCGTAAAATTTGACTCTGGTCTCCGGCAGCCACCAAAGTTGGTATCTGTTCTACTACCCATAATGCATTATCTTTTACTTCTTTATTTAATACTATTTGTTTTAAATCAATTATCATATACTGGTTGTTATATGTACCTAAAATCATTTTAAATATCAAAAATATAATGGCCATACCCTTTCATATATATATGATGCACTTGTCTATAGACAAAGGGACCAAATAGTTTTAGAAGGGGAGGAGTATGGAACATGCTCAAAATACCTAACATCCTTGTATCTTGCTTGAAATTTGGGATGATATCAAATTGCATCAACTTAATTCCAAATAGTTAAAGCATAATTCAATTGAAGAGATCTTGAATAGTTCTTGGAGAGTTGTCACTGAGTTAAATGCATTATCTCAGGTTTTATAATTCATATGTAATCAAACCTGAGTTGTATTTAGATAAAACTTTCGCCCATTCTTGTCCCGAGTTAGCCATCATATTGGCCACTCTAACTCTGTGCCAAGCAAATAAACTTTCTGGTGTACAAGATTTATATAGTGTTGCATTGAATACATTATTTGTGGTTTGAAGCATTACCATATTACTGCTCATCAAATAAAAATCATCTAATGACTCTAAGAATCCTGAAATAAGTACGTAGATGAAATATAAATGTCACATAGGCTTGATATGCCATTGACTACGATATTCTATGCGCATTACAAGTACCGCTTTACTAACAGTAACAGCAAATTCCACATGTATTTCAACTATCTTGTTCAACAGTTTCAGGCATATCACAGAAATATTTTTCACACTTATCATACCAGGATAACTTGATAATGATATCTTCTTAGCTGAGGTAGCAGAATCATTGACATTAAAGTTCCAATGTTTATAAATTCTCATTGTAGCAGCATATGCAAACCAACTAGAATGGGACATGAAAATATTCTCAAAGGCCCCTAAAACCTGAAAAAACAATGGAATTATAAGATTTTTTTGCCTAAAAATTGCTAAACAATAATTTAAGAAGATGAAATGTTTTTTTCTGAAATTTATACATAAAGGATAAAACAGAATAGGGACAAGTTATGAAATGTAATATTACAGATTGTAAGTTTAAAGGGAGAATATTGTGTTTTACCTTGACCATAGCAGAACAGTGACCACTTGTAGCTAAATATCTCATAGCTTCATCATGGCTCATCTTTCTCCAATCTGGTATTGTTTCAGGACTGACAACTTTAGTTAAATCTATCAAATCACCAACGCCATTTAATACTTGGAAAGCATATACATCTAAATTCTGAAATAAATTTGGGCACGATGATTTACTTGTGCTTTGCTAAACCTCAAGTCATTTTCAAACAAGGTAACCTGTATTATCTGGGCTGGATAATGGGTGGTCATATTGAACTTACAACAATTCTTAAGATGGTACAATAAAAAGAAAAGCCAAAAATAGCAACTTAGGTTCCTTTTCCCCATCTGGTCCTTAGCCAAACCTCTTGGCATTGATCTGTTCTTTGTTATTAATTAATCAATGTTATAACAGCCATTATCTACTTCTTCTACCATGTTGAAATATTCCGTATCAGGATCATTATTGTATTAGAAATGAGGTAATGTCTGATGGTTCAGACCAGTATAAGATAATGTTATATAAGATTTCAGTAATAACTTACTGGTAATGTTTTCTCTGTCAGTCTAGCTGCTTTATATCCCTCTATCAAACCATCGTATTGAGCTATAATATAACTAACATGTCTCCAAATAGGATCTTTTGGAGCATTTTCATTTATCATTTTTCTCATCCATTTATCTTGATCAATAAAATATTGTTTTATTTTATCTTCTAATGCTGCACTTCCTTTACCATTAAAAAATATACCTCTTACATTCTCATAATGTTCAGCTATTTTCCTGCAAAATTTGTATTCACTATCAAGGTAGGCAAATCAAGTCTTAGACAAGCAAATAGCATTAGACAAATGTTTGCATAATAACGAGGCAGCTGCTTGTTTTTTTTAGACTACATTGTAACCTAAGAAGTTTTCTACCAAAATGCCTGTTCCAAATTTCACAATCAGTTGCCTTTTTGGCAGTTACAGACTGTATCAGTAAAAAATTTGTTAATAATTGTAAAAGATTATAATATTATTAAGTTTGGGGCTATATATCACTACTTACGAAGCAGTAAAAACTCCTTCAAGAAACCCTGCAGCAAACATAATGTCTTCATTTTCTGACTGAACTTTACCATATCCAGCCACAATATCTAAAATACCCCAACCATTCTCTAATAAAGTATCATTGAATGTACCAAATGCTGTGGCTCCTGTTTGATCTATTTGATTAGCTGTATAAGTGCAAGCCTTTGATTTACAATAAGCACTTCCATTCTGAAAACTTGCACCTATAAGAAAAAAACATACACAGGAAACTTAAAAGTTTATTTATTTACTTTAATCTTTAGGGAAAAAAGTTTGTATAAGAGTTCCTCCCCCCTCCCCCATTGGGGCTTTGGGTGGTAAACAAGGACTACAGGTGGTAAACACGAACTGAGGGTTGTGAACAAGAGCTGAGGGTTGTAAACAAGAACTATAAGTGGTAAACAAGAACTACGGGTGGAAAACAAAAGCTGGGGGTGGTAAACAAGAACTCTGGGTAGTAGCTGTTAATGGCAAACAAGAGATGGGGGTGGTAAACAAGAACCAAGAACTTTGTGTGATAAACAAGAGCTGAGGGTGGTGAACAAGAACTGAGGGTGGTGAACAAGAACTGCGGGTGATGAACAACAACTGAAGGTGGTGAACAACAACTACGGGTGGTAAACAAGAGCTGCTAGGGTAACTAGAAAAACGTTTTCAATTTGTGCTTGTTTGTGCTAATAATGCCATTCTCCAGAGGATTTAAAAGTTTTAAAAAAGGGTAGCAAATGTCCACTCCTATGACGGCTGAAGTGAATTGGCAAAAACTTTTTAGAAATTATTTTGGACGAGTTTAGGAAACAGTGCACCACGTCGGACTACTTACCTAGACAAATAGGTATCAAAACAAATATTAAGTTTATAGATTGAAACATTGTCATTCAGTATAATACATCAATAATATAATATAATCAAGCACTTATTTATCATCAGTCATGAACTTCTTGTTTTGTTTTAATCATGGACGAGATCATGTGACTGTCACATGACTATCATTTGACCGGTAAACACTTTAATGCTTCAATTTTCGCCTACTTTTTAGAGCAATAAAGGGAGTGAACTTAATTTTATGATTAATACCGACCACAACAATTTTAAGGCATATTCAGTCATAAAATAGTCAGGAGATGCTTATGACCTTTTATAGTTTAATAGCCTATGTCAAAAAGATAAAAGCTGAAGATGACTTAATTGAAATTCCATCAAGCTAGGGAAGCTCACTGGATTAAGACACAAAATACTGAGAGACCAATAGGACTGATTGTCCATCATTATGCAGGCATAACTTCCTTGGTTGTCCCGTTTAATACCACCAATAATCAACTAAGATAGCCAATGCCCAATATGAGACTTTACTAGAAATTCTCGAACATCTCAAATGATCTTAACACTGGTGATTACATAGAAATTATAGGGTGATTAAAAAGCACTACCCTATTATTAGGAAATGAACTTGATTCCTTCTGAAATTGAACATGTTCCATACACGTTTTGTATAAGTAGTAGCCTACAACTAGCGAGTGCATCATCACAAAATAACCGAAGTCAGATATATCAGAGTCAAAATATGTAGCAAGCAGGGATATGTATTGGATGGGTTGTTTACAGAACGTGATAGAAATAAAACATTGATATTGTGATATCCCACTTCTATCTATCGGACCTTCCCGGCCATTAACATAATGAAATTTTTAATCTTCGGGCCAATAATACACTTTAACTTTTATTCATTGACATGTTATAATATAAGTGGATATTTCAGAATTTAGATTTTGTTCTGTATCGAAATCTGCACGTCTGCCCATAATCTCACCTCATTTGTACATTCCTGTTTTTGACATAGTTGAATTGAAATAATTCCTTTTTCACTAACAATACCCCCATTTAAGGTAAAAATGGTTTGTTATCTTGTAATATAGAAGATTTATTCATTCAAACATATTTTATCACATGAACAAAAATTGTTCCTGTGCCAAAGATTAACTAGAGTTATAGGTTCAGTGGTGTTTATTAGGATACATTAGGGGAAGTGACCGAACAGGGGTCACAGGCTATTCTTTCACTATTCAAAATGTTAAAAAAAAAAATGAAAATGGTGCGTGAGTGTGTGTGTGTGTTGGGAGGGTGGGGGGGGGGGGGGGGGGGGTGGCGTGGCCCGCCCCGCCCCAAAAACCCCTTTTTTTGGACAAAAAAACCCCCTTATGA